CTTAAGTAGTAAAACCCTTCTGGCTTGTTTTTTTCGCTCTCTCCGTCTAAGTATACTTTGGCTTAAATTATATGAATAAATGCTTGCCAACAAGACGATATCGTGTTCTGCCAAGATATACTTTGGCAAACCTAGCACGCTGTATTTTAGCAACGGTGTAGTAAGCTAAACTTATTTCATGGCACAAGTAGCATACTCTAAGTTAGACTGAATCATGTAAGATAATAGGGCTATGACTGTCAGGAGTCACTTTGAATATGAGTAGCCTTTTCACAGTCAAGTTTAACAGAAAAGGGGAATGGAACTAAGGAGTAAGAGGAGAGGGCGGAAAAAGGGTGTGTTGACAAATATTCTGGAAGTCCCACCTACTATCCCGGGAGTCAAGTTAATTCAAAGTTATGATTTTCCCACATGCATGAATTTCCTTCTTCTGACCCAAGCGTATGCTTCTATTTATACCTGTCACGCCTTTTCCCCTACAATTAAGGCTTTGGCATGCAGATTTCAAGGACCAAATTTATGAGAGCAGGAAGGGCATGACTTTGATTTCTTCGATAATTTAATTTAAATTCTTTATACACATAATCTCCCACAGTTCGGACGTTTTTGCCCTTCCTAGCTCAGTTGAATAAGACCGTATCAAGTAGGAATGTCTCGACAAGGTAAAACAGTGATTTGTTAGATCCGAATTGAAACTATCCGATTTTCTAACCCAAGAGGCCGGTTTACAGTTTCCTGAACTTTTCTACACCATTTTTACTATATTAAAGACTCGGATCCATAATAATAAGCAAAAATTCCGATTTTTCCCATCATGTACATCACTTGTCCTTGTACTACATTCAATGTACATCTCTACTCACTCACTTTGTAAGAATTTGGACTAAACTTTTATAAATTCGGGCAAGCATAATGTCCAGTATCCTCTTTAGTGCAGCAAAGATGAAAAGTACTAAACCATTAATGCTGACTGGTGCACTTTTGATATCAAAGTTATGAAACCGGCGA